CTTGAGTAAAGTTTGGGACACTGGACAATCTGTGGAGCTCTCAAATTGAATTAGTAATCAATCTATGATCGCATTCCCGAGTAATAGGAGTGTGCTGGTGAACTTTACCCTGTGAGTGATTTATTTTCATTTGCTTTGCTTTAATAATTATTTTAAATACTCAAGCAAGAGTTGTCATTTTAATGTTTGTTGAAATTTGAATAACTACTTAAAATTAATCGATCTGCGAAATTTCAATGTTCTTAGAGGGAATTAATATGACCAATACTAAAGCATTTTAGAAGATGAAATGTGTGTACTCCTAGCGTTACACTATGATACAGTATGATTTGAAAAAAAAAAAAATTATTTTAATTAATGTAAGCTGGAACTTGGTGTGACATATGTGTTATTTTATCCATTATTTAGTAATATGATATTCAAGAATTTAATAAATGTGTTTGTTTAAAATTTTTATTGCATTTGTTTATTTCGTGTGTAATTCACTTTGGTCGGCCCAGCCACTCCATTTGTTTGAGCCGGGGAGCTTTTAAGAAACATGGAGCTTTTAGTTACCTTGAGTTAATTTCTCTTTGTGGGTTTCACAACGCATCCTTATGTACTAATCACATATAGTTAAATTATTGATTGTGTTGGGTGCTTTTTGATAATTGATATCTAGGTGCTAGGATGGTAATTAAACTTATGATTGTTTTGCATTTTCAGAACTGTTTGATGGCTTTGAATATTTCTTCTCTGGTGTCTGTGAGGTTTTGATTTAATGAAAATGAACGTGTTACTCTCAATTTAATTATTGAAATGATTTGAAATGTAGTTGAAGTGAATTTAAGAAATTTTTTTGTTTGTTTGAAAGATAATATTCTGTTTTTACCCGAGCCCCAGAGAAGATTTATTTCTTCTTATTTTTTTAGGTTAAGATTATTTTAGTGTGTGATTATTAAGTTAATGGATTTTTGGATATGTTTATTTAAATGTATTTGAGTTAGTTCAACTAAACAGTTCCTCCTCCTACTTTTCACAGCTTAGGATAGAGCTCTCAGTTCAGTTTTAGAGAATTTGATTGTTCTTATTTTATTTTCGTAGCGTTTGTATGGCATCAAGACAGTTAAGGTTTAAAGTTTTAAAAGTTAAAAACCCAAATTTTCAGCATCGTAACACCAATTACCATTTCTGGGGTTGTTCAGTTACTAATACAAGTGATATCTTTTAAAGATAGCACATGACTGATCACTTTTGTTTTTAAATAATGGCTCTCATATTCATTTCTCTTTCAGCTACAGCAGTGCGGAAGCCCTGGATGTCTCATTTGTAAGTGTTGATTTATATTAAAAATGCCAATTGATGGTTTTAAACAATATAAGCAGTGATCATCTGACAATATTGATTGAGATACGAGTAAACAATTGATTCCTACCATTAGAGAAGGTGTTAGGAATTTTCGTAAAGCGGAGTGGCTGGCTTTCTTGAAATTGACTAAGTACTCTTTTGGCTTTCCTGAAATCAGAGCTTTAATTGAAAAAAGTGATTTGCCATTTCAGAGCCTTAACTTTATTAGTAGCAACCTAAAATCGAATTTAACAAAACTAATGCTGAGTTTAAATGAGTCTAAGCTATCAACAAAAGGAAAACTTAGAGAGAAATGAGCAGTAATGTTGATGCGAAAGCACCTAGCTTAAAGCTGTGAAGGCTTGCTAGAGCTCTAAGTAAAGAAGATTCTGAAATGAAATTGTGTGATGCTATAATTGATTCAAATTATGTACTGCACTGTTACTCACTGTTCTTTGCTATAGAAAAGGTGATATCTATGAGATATTGCATTTTTGCTGATGATGTCTTCTGGCACTCTGGCCCTGTTGTCAAGAACATTGAAGTTAACATTAACCTAACTCTTAGAGATGTGAGTGCTTTGCTGGTATGCAAGTTGACTTCCAAAATCTATGGCTAGTCTTTGTACTAAAAGACACATTTATAATTATCAACTTACTATCAACATGAATGACACACTCCTTACCTAAATATCTCTCCTGAACTTACTTTCTAGACTTTTAGTTAATTCTGAGCTGCACATCCAATGGATTTCCTCTCATGTGGGCATTAGTGGCAACGAGATTGTTGACTCTCTGGAAAAGGCTATTTCTTTAGAGACTTCTCAGTGAAAACTTCCTTGCACCTGAGGTGCTCTCCAAGTGTAAGTAATTACTTAAGGATCTCTGCAGTGTCCCTTCAGTACCTGCGTGGTACTAGAGAGTTCGCCCTGGTGGCACCTTACTTTTTGGATACTACAGAAGCAAGCAGACTTGCATATCATGTTCTTATGGCCAAACCTTACCTTAAGAATGCTAAGTACTTGGGATATACAACAGATTCTTCATAATATGCACATCCAGACTCTGGAGGTGAAATGCAGGAAAAGGCTAAATCTACTAAAATATTTTTCTCGGCAAGGTTGGAGAGCAGATGCTCCAAATCTGAAACTAACTTATTTTTCCCTTATTAGATCCATCTTGGAATACTGTTCCCCTATTTATTATTTGTGATTGTAATCACAATAGGCTGGAAAGAGTTCACATTAGTGCAATGAAAATGATTTTTGGCTTGAGGCATAGCTGCCTAACGATATTTCTCTATTTGAACACACCTCCAGCCATTGAGTATGAGAAGAAAATCGTGTCTTGTTAAATATTATAATACACTTCTCAGTTACGATGACCAAAATAGAACCTCTTCCTATCTGAAAAACTGGGTTAATAACCAAAGATTGAAGAGAAACAGTTCTTTTTTTCAAGCAACTTTGTACAGTTTTGTTAATTTGCTTTCTCCTTGCTGGATTGAATGTCACTCTTTCAGGCTGTGCTTTAGCCGCATCTTTAATGGCATCCATTTTCCCACCGAATTTTTGAATGAAGTTAAAAAAAATATTGACAACCCTGAATTTATGAGACAGATGGCCCTGGAAACTATGAGTCATATACCTAAAGATGCTCTTCAAATATATGCAGATGGCAGCAACAGTTATCATGGCCATTCTGGTAATGGTATCTTTACCAAAACTACTTTTAGACTTAAAAATTTACATTCTTGCTCTGTGCTCAGATCTGAACTCATCGCTTTTGAAAGAGGCCTGAGCTAATGTGGAAAATACTGTTGAACCTGATTCTGTAGATATACAGATCCTAACTGACAGCTGATCTAAATGATTGGACAGAGGTTAGGGACAGTGTGGGCATATCTATTCTGAACTTACTTCCTAGGCTTTCAGTTAATTTTGAGATGCACATCCACTGGATTCCCTCTCATGTGGACATTAGAGACAACAAGCCTGCAGACTCACTGACAAAGGCTGCTGCTTGAGAAACTTCCCAGTCAAATATTCCTTTCACCTTAGTACCTTTATAGCAAGTTTTAGCTTATTATTTCACCTTAGTACCTTTATAGTAAGATGTTCTCCAAGTGTAAGAAATCACTGCAGTGCCCTTCCAGTACAGGACTAGTACTTGAGAGTTTGCCCTGGTGGCACTCTACTTTTGGGGGACCGTAGAAGCCAGCAGACTTGCATATCACATTCTGGCAGTGGACACGTGAGGAGCCTCTCCTATGAACAACAGCAGAAAGTTTTTAAGACCTCCTCCAAGTGTAATGCTGCTCAGGCATCACCTGATTGTATTTTGTCTTGATTTTACCTTTGATGAGGTTTTGTTGTAAACCCCTTCTGTTTTTAAACTTTTTAGAGGTACTTAGACTCATGGAATTGGTCTAAAAATGTTGGACCACTTTCGGGATTAGAAACAACAACTTCCCTAAGACCACCACCTTTGAAAATGACCAATGTTCTGCTAACTTCATCAAATAATGGTAACAAGCATTATCGATATGTTAGCCACGGTGACCAATTCAACAGAAGGGGGAAAAAACTCTGGAACTATGGGTGGCTGTCTTATGGAGGTTTCATTGCACGTACAGAAAATTATGGTTAAATCAAATCTACTAAAAATATTACGGTAATCTTTAGTTCAACAGAATATTATGATTTGATGCTGCTACATTCGTTTCGTAATTTTCATTGACTTTTTAATATCTAAAATTTAAATACAATACCTACTGTAGCATATCACAGGAAAAGAAGAATATAGTGCTTTTTCTCACCTTGTTTTAATATGCTTTTAGACTATATGCAACTAAAAAAAACTTCTAAATTACATTGTTGGCTCATTTTAAGTTAAATTTACCAACAGTGCTCTTTTGGGGGCTTGTCTACTGGTCGAATGTGGGTCTTACTGCCACAGAATTTCTTTAGATTGGGCCTTTCCAGAGTAACGGGCATAAGAGCCCCATAATGGGTTAACCTGCCATAGGTGACCATTTCTCGGTGATGGAAGAAAAAGGTTAAAATCACAAACAAGATATTTGTACACAGGAGTGGCTTTACTGGCTAATGTTATAGCTCAGGGGCAATGGAGCTAGTCATTTCTTTAAAAAGCAGTTAGCAAATAGTTAACAATATCTCTTCACCTCTTCTTTGGGACTTTGATCCTGAGTTTTGAGACATAATTTTAGTCACTCTGAGTTTTGAGACACAATTTTATTCATTCTCGGCTTGATATGCTGTTCTATCAAAGACAAGTAAAACTAAATTCACATCTTAACTGGTGAGTTCACCCTTTTTTTAGGAATGTCTGTTCTAATGCTTAACAAGGTGGAGAAAATCATGAAGAATCAGAGAAGTGGAAGGGAGCTAATTCTCCATTATACAGTTACAGTCAAGTGAACATCAGATTGTTGCTGTACAAACATAAAATTCTTCAATTTCATGGGTAAGAACTGTCTAAGATTTAAAAGTTAAGAAGTGGAACACATTAATAGAAACTTCTAAATAAGCCCTCAAATTCAGCTTCTGTTTTTTTACCACAAATTTGGAAGCAAAGCTGAAAACATTACACTATCTTTACCAATCATAAACAAGCATTCTTTATTCAACAATAAATGAAAAAATTATACTCTACCCAAATCGTAGCCATCCCCAACCAGCAGGTTCTGAAATTCCCTCCATATTCTGAAGTGATGCTTGCCTGAAAAAAAAAAATTATAAAAATCTACAGTTAAAAAAAAAAAAAAAAAAAAAAAAAAAAGATCAGGTAGATAAGATTCTATTGCATTCCCAACTATAATAATCGATTTCATGCAATAATATATGTATATATATATAATTGAAACAGAAATTGTAAAGCTAACAAGTAATGAGACGTAAGACCTATTTCGTCTTAAAAATTTTTTGCGCATAATGCTGCAAAAAGATATGAAATAATAGTAGGTAGAAACATTGCAGCGATCTTGCTAAAAAGTTACCAGGAGCTGTAGCTCCACGAAATTGTTCAACGCTGTATTACTAAAATATTAACAGAAGAAATTTTAAAAAAAAATATTAATCTGGAAAAAAAAAAAGAGGAAAAAAACTGCTTACACACGAAGAAAACTGTTAAAATTAATGTTGGAAGACATGCAAATGCACGAAAAAGCTAATCTGACCGTTGTGATATGTGAAAAGTTAATACACATAAAAATAGATTGACGGAAAAAAATATTAAAACATAAAATGCAAAAATGATAATGAAAACATAAATTGCAAAATTACAAAAATACAATAATTACAAAGCGGAAAATGGTAAATTAACCCACTCGTACCCTCAACCAGACTTATCAAGGGGAAAATGATTGAGTGTCGAACTAGGCTAAATACCATTACGCGTTTCGCCGAAACAGACCATTGAAGCTCTTGTTTGACGAGTTAATTTTTTTTTTTTTTTTAAACATTAATTGTCCCGAATAAATCTTTTTTGGAGCTTCAATTCTCTGTTCCTTTTTCCCGACGCGTCCGCAGAAAAACACATTAGGGTGTTAAAAAAGGTAAAATGCAACTCCGAGCAATGTAAAATTAAAATCAAAATAAAATAAATAGCGGTCTGCTATTAGTCAAAAATACAATAACGTACAGGCTGGTCATATATATATATATATATATATTAAACCTAGAAGAACCTAGAAGGCGGAGCCAACGCAGAAGTTTCCCCCCTCCCATTGTATTTTCACAGGAAGTGAACGACTGGATTACACTAGATGAAATGTTTACAAAGAACTGTACAGAACCTCATGAGTGTCAAATGAGAGGAAAATCAATCTTCGTCTATACCAAAAAATTAAAAGACTACAGTATGATAAACAAGCTACTTTTAGAAAAGAAAATCCCATACCACTCATACCAACTTGATTGCGAAAAACCAACATGTGTAAATCTGAAGAACCTCCCCGCAACTTGTAAAGAAGAAAACATCCTATAAGACCTTAAATGCAGGAACTTTCCCATAGAAAAAGTAAAGCAGTTCTCAAAATGATGTGATGGTGAAATAATTAAACTTCCTATCTATCTACTTGAGCTCAAAAGGACCTCTCAAGGTAACAAAATTCATGAGCTTAACAACATATTCAGCTTCAACATCGCTATCGAAAAGTTTAGTCCTAAGAAGCAACCTGTTCAATGCTACTGCTGCCAGCAGTTCGGCCACTCACAATCATGCTGCAGTAACACTGTCAGATGTGTTACATGTGGACAACAGCACGGGAGCAATCAATGTTCTATGAAACCAGAAAACAAGCCCAAATGTATATTTTGTAGACTTTGCCATGTCGGTAGTTACAGAGGTTATAATGAGTACAAAAAACGATTTGAAAAGAAAAGAAATACACCACAGACTAAACCTCCCGAATGAATGGAGGAAAACTTTCCCAGACCAAAGATTACTGAGTTCCCAGTGCTGAAAAAAAAACCACCCCAAGCTATTTATAGCGAGAAACCAAGAAATAAAATTACGCCCCACTGAAGGACATCAACGACGCTATGGCATGGATACAAAATGACAAGATTAATGCATTCTTAGCCTCAATTATCTCATGCATAGGACAAACCGGAGCAGCTAAAAGTCCGGCAGAGAAGCTACAAACAGGTTTTCAGGCAGCCATGCTCCTCATAAACTTTGCAGAAGCGGAGAATTAGAAAAGTAAAAGCACCTCTCCTACTATGAATCATTCAGATTACAGGAAATTCACGCAGCTATATTCTTGATGTCACGCTTCTATCTTCCTCTACCCACGCGGTAGCAGTCTGACCATTTCTTTCCATCGTCAGAGTAACTCCGAATGTGTAATACGGCTCACCATCGCTTCATCAATAATCCTTTTCTGGAATTCTCTGTCAACTGTCATCTATGTTATGGTAGGAAAGCCATGTTTTTCTCCATGTGTTACATGCAGGATGAGGTTTATTAGCCCAGGGGCCTGATTTCACATGCTTATGCACCTGAGCCTTCAACAGCAATGACGCAAAATAATATTAAAATGAGCATATCTTTAGAATTTTCGATACACAGTCTCACGAACTGGAGATAAAAACTTTTTTTTTCGAAAAATGTTGCCATTGCTTGTTTTTAAATTGATGAGTTTGATAATCAAAAATTCATTAAAGTTTTATAAAATATAAAATAAATAATACAACAAATACCAAATTCGGGCTTCCAGATGCCCATATTCAGGTGGAAATGTACGTTATTCAAAATTTAATGGCTCTAGGTACTGCTGTTTTATCACAATGTGAGAAACAAACATCCATTTATGACAATTTGTCATTACTTAATTTCTTTAAATATAATACAGGGCTCTAATATTTGATGGCAACAATCTGAAAAGTGAACCAACATTTATAGTGAATTAACGCAAAATGCCAGAAGGAAATTAATAGTCCTTCTGAGCAAAATTGCCCCTTTCCACTAAAATAAAAAAAAATATGCATGAATATGAAATGAAACGCCATGTATGCATTGATTATTAGTTCTTTATTAATGAATAAAATGCAGTTTCATCCTTCATTATTCAATATTAACACATAATTCCTTAACATATTATTAATTATAACATTACTTGCACAATGAACCTGGATAAATGCTATGACTGAAAAATGTGGGATGTTAACTTTATAAAGCCGGCAGTACAGCAGTTCTACTGGGGAACTAAAAGTTTCTAACTAAAAGTGGAAAGTTTCTTTAACACCGGCTATGGTATAACTGTCGTATCAGCTATCCCCTCTCTATTTTAGAGAATCACCTATCTGTAGATAACAATTTTCAGATGACTGGGGCTGTGGTTAGGGAAAGTTTATTATCAAATCTTTTGAAAATCAGATTCATGCATGGGATGATAAGAAATGGGATGTTTCAACGAATTAACTTCTATTTAATTTTTGTATTGTTAACAAGTTTACTTTTTGAGATATAATTACAGAAGCTTGTCTACTGATTTTCTTGATAAGTTTTCCTACAAAATCAGGAGTGTATCTACTATGTGATTCAATTTGCAGGATATATTTAAATTTGTTTTCATAAAATTCAGGTGCACCACAGAATTCTTTGGATTATCTTAAGTATAAAAAAACTGTTTAATGATGATGAGAAAAAAATCATAACAAGATTATTGTTGGGTTATCAGCTGGACTAGTAGACTATAATTTGAAGAATATTATCATACAAGGAAATCTATCATGCAGCTAGACCATTTCCTCGGATGTGAACCAAGACTGAACTACAGTGCTCAGGATATTCTCAGCCACTGGAAGGCTTGAACAGAAGTATTTAATCAGTTTCCTTAAAATATTATGCAATTACACGTACTTGATGCTTTTTCATACTGAAGCCCTATGTCTCTTTTGAGCAAATACATACAAGGCTCTTGTAAATTTTATTGCTCAAACCCTCAACCAGCTTAATCCATCCCAATATACTTCTGAATTGCAGTCATAAATTATATATGAAGTTTCAGTAGTAATGCAACATTCAGAATCACAATGTTAATATTTAGTTTTAAAAAAAAGCATTAAATTAACACTTAAACCATACATTTCTTTTACAGCTTTACTGATTAACTAGATTTAATAAGATGCTACATGAAATATAAATATGATGATTATCCAAGATATTTAAGCATCTATAGCAATATGTTCTTAAGGATTATCATACAAATTTATACAAAACAGTTTCCCAACATAATGCTACATACTGCAATGCCTGTTGCAACATGTCAATTTTAAATTTACACTTAGAACTGAATAGACATTTTATCACCACATTATCTGTATAGTTAAATTTAAGAAATTAGCTCATCATCATTTTCTTTAATTCAGAAAGATGAAAATCTAAAACAATAGATTAAACTGATTTTGTATCTATATAATATGTAATACATACACATCTATTGTTTCATCAGAAAGAACGTTTTTAACAGCTTCTCTAGCATATGGATCCAAGTCCTTTTCATATTGATCTATAGTTCGTTTTGGAGGTAAAACAAAATCTACAGCAGTAATATTTTCAGGCTGAAAAGAATTAGCACAAAATATATTATACTTAATTTTTATCAATACTTTGCTATAACTTTAATACTAAATCAAAAGACTCAAGATCAGAGATCTGTATGAGATGCACTAAATTTAATTTAACAAATGCAACTAAATTTATTAGATTACCAAAGCATTATTAATAACAATTACAACAGCAATATTTTTCAATTTAATTTACGGCTACATGCATACTCATCATTATAACACACCGATACACAGCAATAAAATGCAGTACATAGGACATGCATTAAAAATATACCTATTTCCAGTTTTTCTGAAAGTAAGGATTACTTAAAGACAGCATGAGGTGTTCTTTCCAGACAGTATGAGGTACCTTTATAAGAGAACTATATCCCCTACTATTAAAAAAATTGTATCTTATGTCATATAAGTTCCAGACAACTAGGACATTTCCGATCCCAGGCACATAGAGTTGATATTTAAAAGCAAACCTTGAAAGCATCTTTTTATGATATTCATAGAAACTCGGTATTAATATCAAGCAATAGAAATTACTTGTTAGATACATCTATGTAAACTTACAACGGAGAAGAGATTATGAGATCTATAATTTGTGGTCTCCAAATAGATACTGAAGAAGGATAGTTTCTACTTTCCAGGAAATAACTGATATTCATCATGAGACAGACATGTGCAATTAAAAAACATCATCTTACAAAACTGTCTCATACATGGTTGAGGAATTCTTAAACCGTTGGAACATCAAAATTTCTAAACGAACAGTACTTCAGCTATCTGAAATTATATATTTATCAAAATTGTTCAGCACATGTTATCATTGGGACCATAACATGATAATTAATGCATGTACTTGTGTTCACATAACTTTTGTTTTAAGATTATCAGTAATCATTTATGCCATTTTCTTTCGCTATATGCGAGTTTTGCAGAGTGGTCAAATGAGCAAATTCTGTTTGCGTAAGCATGTAAATACATATCAAAACAACCTGCTATCTGTCATAATGAACCAACTTCTGTGAACAAAACTGAATTGATTCACACTCACAAATTCTAAATTTTACTTTGTTCTGCATTTTGTGAAACTGGATGATAGACTCATACAAGCTCCTCAAATGACTGCTCTGAAATATGAATTAGCCTCAGAGGAAATTTTGATGGCTGAGACAGTTTTAAGTTTGAAATTTTAGTACATAATTCTTTTCAATTCCATTTAACAGACATAACTATTAAAATCACCATTATAGGAACTTTCCACAAAGGAAGGTTTACTATCTAAAATGTACTTAATGCACGCTTAAAATGTACTTAATGCACACTTAAAATATTCTTAATGCGTGAAATCAACAATCATGTAAAATCTCTATTGTGTTTCTTACATAGAATTTACTTTTGATTAGATAGCAGCAAGGTTAGAACATTAAAATAGCCTGCAAGACATATTAGAATTTACTTTTAATTAGATACCAGCAGAATTAGAAATTTAAAATAAACTGCATAAAGAAAGCAAGGCACACATAAAGTGCAATTTTATTTCAGCTAATGAAAGATTTTATTAATGTAGCCAAAATATTGCAAAACAGTTTTTATGCTGATAAAACATGCATTAGTGGAATATTTCAGATTAATATCTTGCCAGTATGCATTGCATTTCTAATTGCAATAAATAAGCCATGAAAGGAATAAATACTTTTCTTATAAATTCAAGCTACAGAAGCTACGCTGAATGTAGTAAGAGAAATATGTACACATAATATCCGTTTTTTTAAGCAACACTGCCTTTGGTTTTATATATCAAGGTGAAATTTTCACAAAAGGACTAATGTGGCAGATGTCTTACTAGATTCCAAATGACTTCAAATAAAATAAAAAGGGCAATATGCAAACTGCTTAAAACAAAACTTTTTTTTTTTTTTTTTTTTCTTTTTTTTTTTTTACCTATATCTGCATGGAATCAAATTCTCAAACTGATGTCAATAAAAAAAAATCTTTAAGTGTTAAACAAATGTAAGACTCCTTAGGCATAACAGCGGAAATCAGCTACCAGATTGAACCTCTCACTGAAACCTTTGACTTTTTCATTTGATTCAATATAGAACATGAAAGTTAGTAATTTTATAGTCAAAATTCCATATATAATAATAATATGTAATAAAAGGAAGTAGTTAAACTTGAATAATTAATTGTAAATAATTCTAAATTGCCTAAATATCTTTCATAAGTATACTTTGCAGCATTTAGCAGTTAGTTGATTTAACAAATGACAGTGCTATTCATACCACCACTGTTATAAAAAAGACATATTCCTAAAATTGCTGATCTGAAAATGATTAATTTCAATCAGAATGCATTAAAAATGAGAAAAAATAAAAAAATTAAATATACACATACAACACAAAATATCTAAACAGAAGCTCTTAGAATTAGCAGCATAACTGATAATAATATAAAAATAAGCTAAAAGATATGAAAATTTTGGTTATTCTATAATAAAATTCATGGGTATTAGCCAATTAACTATAACAAAGCACTCATGAAGAGTTTTTCTGTGAAATTTTACTCATATTTATGTTATACATGAGTAAGATTATTAACCACCATATTGTCACCTTGTTCAGTTAACAGGAATGAAACTCAAAGAACTAAAGTATGCAACTAATGGGAAAAACTCATTTCAGATGAGACTAACTCAAATTAAATGTTACAAAAATATTTTATTACGTTAAAAGTTATTAACATCCACTGTGAAAAAATATTTAAGTAGCCAGTCTTACTTTGTAACGTGATACCAAATTTTGTTGTTGATTACTTCTCATATGTGCTATTTTCTGTGGATGTAGTGCCATGGGCCGTCGTAGACTTGATAATGGACGCTCTGAGGGATTAAAATGACTGTATGTCCTACAGAAACAAGATCCTTTTGTTTTAAGTTAATTCATTATCATAAATAAAATTACATTTGTGTCACACAACTTGGAATTCCACACAAGGTAAAGTGTAAAAAAAAGATACATACACTTGATAAAATTGTATATTTCATAGCTATAATGCTCAATTTATTAACTATTAAATGCACTATAAAAGATATATTTTTCAGACATGATGTACTATTTTTTATACAAATTACTACACTATTTTACATATTATTTTATTTCAGAATTTAATTAGCATTACTTTATTTTACAATCTTACATAATTTACAGATCATACATATGACATTAATATCATTAAAATTTGAGAGAGAGCTTCTTTAAAGAAGACCCAGTTAATAAGCATAAAGGAGAAAAAAGCATGATATAAAAACTATGCCACTCAGAAGCACAACTATTTACACATACTGCCATTAATGACCCACTGAATATTAATTAGTATCACCTGCAAACAATCAGTAATGACATGATCAAATAAAAAGCCCACATGTTCACAGTAGATATGTACACTGGCTGTTGCTATTGAAATAAATGTGCAACACAAACTGAATGGAGCTCAGGTGACACAATTATCGATGACAACTGAGTCAGTCATTTCCATTTATACGAATTCTGGAAAGTGTCAGTTATTAAATTTAACAGTGAATGTTGTGGCAGCAATATGAAAACATGGGGAAGTAATAAAACTCTCCACTTTACAAGCCAAAAAAAATTGACAAGGTTTACCTCCAATAACCAATGAAATCACTCAGGCCTCATTAGAAGTTATAGCTAGACTTTCACTAGCTATAGGAAGCATTCCCAGTTCTTAAGTGACCTATAAAGAGATGTTTGCATACCATGGGTGAGTCACAGTACATCTAAAGGCTCGTTCACACGAGTATGCACACGACATAATTCACATTTTGGGGGTGGGGTGGCAAAAGTTCACAGCAGACATAAACCTGAGTTTGTTCATGTTCAGCTTTTTTGTCGAAGATGTGAATGAAAAGTCAACAGCCCACTGAGTTCTTATCACACGTCATAATCAGAAAAAACTTCTTTACACTTCAATATGGCAATAGAACCACACAGCAATGAATTTTGTTTAAAGAGATCATAATTGTCCATGTCAATAAAATAATCAGCATTGTTAATGGCATCTTCAGTTCTCTCAAACCACTTATTGGTAGAAATTTCAAATTTTCATTAAAGGGGAAAACTGCATATTTATAAAGCAATAGTCCAACCAGTATATCCATATGCTACACCTACATGCGACACCTAAAGCAACAAGAACTTAAATAAAGTACAATTTCTACAAAATCTAATCCTCTGCCTCAAAACTAATTATTAAAAATGTTCAATACTTCACGTGCAACAAGAAACTCTATAAGTATCTGAATATCAAATACATCCAAAACTAACTTCAACAAAATAACAACTTCTAAAATAAAGCAGTTGACTGTGAAAAAGTATTGAATAAAATACAGATAAGAATTTTTTTTAAACAGTTACAATCTAGGACATACGATAATCATTTACAAAATATTAATTAAATTACCACTGCAGTAACTTCTACTTGTTGCATTATTTTTTGCCAGAAAGACTGTCACAATTAGCTAAGTGGCCAGCATGCAGGATTGCAAAAATTTCAGTTTATCACTAGCTTTCCACATTTTTGGAAATGCATTTCTTATATTTAATCATGAATTTTATTATTTTATCAATTATTATTATTGTTTCCAATTCTAGTTTAAAAATATGCACTGTACATAGAAATCAGTAACACATTACATGATGATATACCTATCCTCTTATATAAATTATCTTTATTTTTACCTCGTTGTGTATTTTATTCTGAACATAATTTTACATGATCTGCCCAAAGTAAATTCAAAAATAAAAAATATACACCAATAATAAAATTATTTACACATTAATTTGACAGCATCAAAGCCATCAACTTCCAATTGATACAAATATTCTGTTTTAGGCCTGTGAAGATATTTAATATAAATAACAAATCATAAAAACATGGCTTTAAAGACAAGGAATGAATTTAATTGCTGAATGCTTGAAATAAAAGATATTATTAACAGAAAACTTTAATATTACTTAAATGTTTTAATCATCCTCTGAATATTTTGTATATTTCATGAAAAAAAAAAAAAAAAGAACTACAGTACAAAATCGTAAATCCAGACGTCCATTATCCAGGATCATCTAAAATACGGACCTCAAAACCACCACCAACAGTTTTTTAGTAGGCTTTACACATGCACATTTGATTCCCTCCTCCATGCATAATAAAACACCTGGAGAGTGTGATTCTTAGTTTCACTTTGATACTAAATATAATACCTTGTTATTGAAGCAATAATCATTTTAGCATAAATTTGTACAATCAGCAATTTGGCTCCGTTGCTGTGTATCTGCTTTGGCACACATCTCAAACTGAAACATTCCACATAGATACATCATTGATCAGATGCTCACCTGGCGAATCATTATTTATTATACTTTCCTTTCATCACCGCATGTTCATCAAAACATGAAAACTTGAGTAAAGACTCATGTAGCAATGCCTAAACAATTTTTTATGTTAGTAATTGAATAATAAATGAGTATGGTAACCTTTCATGGTGACATTACGCTTGGCAATGATTACAGATTTAAGTTAAATCTAAAAAATGTTGATAAGGAAAAATTCTCCTAAACTTTCTTTCCATATGGCTAAAAATAGATTCTGTTGATGATACCCATAGAACCAAAGATTACATTTAGTATATGAGGGAATTTATTTATTCAGAACTCTGATAAGCCTAAATAACTAACACAATTCTGGCTTAATTGTCTCAGTGTGCGATTGAAGCAAGATAAAATTTAACGGAACAACTTGTCACCAAGCACGTGATGCATAGCCAAATATATATAATGAAGGATAGCTAAATTTGTTGATGAGCTTCTGAATTATAAATCATTAATGAATGGTAGAAATCTGTAGTGTGGTTCTAGATCGAAAAAATGCCATGACCGATAGTGAAGGAAGTGACAGAGAAGTTACTAATTTCAATTGACAAGTTAGTCAGAATTTTCGAAACAGCAGTTACAGGACTTCAAGATTATGTCTGTCTACAGAATTAAAGAGAAAGTATTAGCACAAAAAACAAAGCAACTTAAACAACTTACATTGAAAGAAATGCTTAATAAGGTAAACAAATAAATATTGAGCCTCTTTTTTTTTGGGGGGGGTAAATTTTGATACCCTTTAGGTCATAAATACTTCATTATTTCATAAATCATGATTTCATATTTTTAATTTTATAATTTCTACATGTCATCTTACTAGATTTAAACTGATGATCTAATATCCGATAAAATCCCAAATCCGGAATCGCGGAAGTCCCGACAAGTCCGGGTTTCGGACTTTGTACTGTATTATAGTCACCTTTCTTAAGAAAACTTTTGATAGAATGAATACAAATAAAAGAGCTGATATTCGCAGGGCATAAATATGTTAGTATAGTTGCATTTTACTATAATTACAAGCACATTAATTCAGAAATATTATTTTTAAAAAATTAATACAGAAATTGATAGAATTTCAGCTTGCGAAAATGAGCAAGCGCTACAAATCAAAATGTTGCTTTAACATATTTACATTTTTTTACATAAAGGGGAAGATTTACTTTTTTCTTGAGAGAAAAATTAGTTCATTTTAATCTTTTGCTGTGAATGAAATTTTCTCTATAATACCTTAAATTTTAATATGCAACAAATAAATTTTATTTGATGAACTTTTTTCTGCTAATTTATATGGGTAATAATACATCAATGTTTGTGCAAAATGCACCACCACGAAGGAATTGCCAGGAATCAAATTTATCCCACATATTACTGATAGTGGTACAAATAAACAATCAAATTTACAAGACGAAAAACAAACCGAATGTTAAAAATCAGTGCTTTGTGTGTCTTCCAAGCTGAGCAATGAGAAATAAGAGCCTGTGCATATCGTGGTATTGAATCATGCAGGCTCTGAATGTAATCCTGGGAAATGGCATTCCATATGACTTCAACCTGATGCCAGTCTTAATGTGTGCCACACCAGCTACACAAGCAAGTTGCTGAATGATGAAATTACAGACAGGCTTAATGGGGAGGACATACTGGACATATCAGAGGAATAAGCAGGCCATGAAAGAAGTGAAACCTCTTGTACCCTAAAGAACACATGCATGAGCATTACTCTGCTGAAGTACAGCGCTCAGAATGTATTGAAGAATGGGGAGGACCTCTGGCTCCACAACTTTCCTTATGTAGTGATCACTGTTGAGGTTGCCCACAATCTGCACTAGATGGGATCGAAAATTATACCCAGTAGCTCCCCACACCATGATGCCAGGTGTTTGTGTGGTATGATGCTGGATAACACACTGTGGGAGCAGATGTTCCCCTCAGTAACATTTGATGCATAATCTTAAATCAATGTACTCCTAACTGCAGTGAGATTCATCAGATAAAACAACTTGTTGCCACAGGGCATGCGATGCCCACTGAAGTCAGAGGCGTCTGTGATTCAGTGACAGAGGAATGCTACGTTGAGGAACCCTTGCACGCAGTTCCTGCTGCAGCAGATGGTGATGAGCCACGGAGCTAGACAATATAACACCTGTATCCATGCTCCAGCATTGAGAGGATGCTGCACGATCGGTCACAGCCATGTGAATGAGGTGTTTATTGTCCCATGCCTTTGTGCTACTGCGTTCCCCACTACCAGGATTTCACCTAGCTTGGTTCTCCTCTGTCCATTAGTTTGAAACACGCATCACAATTGTGGCATTACACTGCATACAGGCTGCGATTGCTCGATGTAAAAGTCCACCCTTTCGCATATTAAAGATGCGACCTCGTTTGAACTCCATTAGTTGTTGGTATGGCACTCTCCACTGTTGATAAGGCACAATTACCATTAATTAAATGTTCAGAGGAAGATAAACAGATTTCAACACAACTTTACAGTCCTTTGCAATTTTCAGAAACCTTAGTGTATATTGAGAAAAATCATATTACAAAATGTTTTACTTATTTACACAGATTCCTTAACACATACTCCCATACCACACATAAATGAGAAACCTCAGAGAGGAGTCAAATAAGTTTTAATGCAAATTAAGACAATGTCATAAGTCTTAATTCGCATTAAAACTTATTTGTGCATATATTAACTGTTTAATTTTATTACCCTGTGTTGTTAAATTGCTTAATAAACAAAATATCACAATGAAACAAGCCAAGTATAACACTCTTCCGACAAGACTGCGAAACAGCAAATGAAACACTTCGCACTTGCAGCCTTCTATGAGTCACATGATATATTTTTTCCTTCAATAATTCTATTGGCTAAATGCAAACCTGGCTCGCATCTTCGTTTGTACGTCTTTTTGTCAGTGACGTGCATTTCATTCTACGATTTACGTCGCTAGTGTAGTCGTGTGGATACACCTTAAGTGCAAAACCTGGAAAGACACCTATTAACTACACTTGCAAAATGTACATTGCCAATGGACAAAACAACAGTGCAGGAGCATCTTCCACTGCTTGAAGTGAAAAATCTCATGTGACGATTGGATGGCAAAGTGTATGGGCATAGCAAGTACCAAGAAAATGCCTCTTTCCTGAATGCATTTTTTCCACAGTAAAATTTGGCACAAAATTTCTCGTAAAAAGCTGTTTATCTGTGGTCTTTGTCCACATGTTTTTACCTGGAAACAATAAATGTCAAAGGCTATGAAACAGTATTGGTTAATTCCATCCTGCTTACTCTGCAACAACAGTCTGGACATCCCCATTTCTACTTGAATTTAATACATGCCTATTTATTAAGTGAAAAACATAACTGAATAACTTGAGCAAAATAAATTGGTAAAATTTGACTGGCTAGGCCAAAGATCTAATCTCAGTCTAAATTAGTATCTTGGAATAACTTGGAGCATTCACTACAAATGAAACCAAGTCATGAAGAAACAAAATAACACTATTCACCTCATACATAAAGAATGGCATTAAATACCTATAAATATCTACAGAAATTTATCGGATTTTCCTTGAAGGATAAAGGGTACAATAACAGTGAATGGCAGACCTACATCGTACTAACACCATTTGGCTTCAGACTTAACATAGTCCCATGGATTTTAAACCACTATCAGCAACATGGAATACACACTGTCACAGTCTCTCATTTTACATTATTATTTCATTCTTACCTTCATAACATCTTTTAATTTTACATATAACAGGCAAGTAATAAAAAAATACAAATGTCTTACTTAAAGGGGAATACAATGCAAAATTCATAAACATACAAATGCAACTATAAGTAAAATGAAAATAATAGCAAATTCCACTCTTCCAAATCAGGTAGAATTTTAGAAATACTGTTATATATGCCATGAAAAAGAACTAGTGTTTCTTACTTATAGCTTAATTCAATACCTAATCTACTACACAATAACTGCATTTTTACTCCAAAGCTGGGTGCATGTGCCACGACGAGAAGAGAATCTCATGAAAAGCAACAGGCTAGAGTTGGATAATCACACTGGTGTCAGGCAGCAACAATAGAGTTGGATAGCAATGTACCTGTAGCTGTACAGCACATCATGAAGATTTTCATGATTCAAAGGCAATTTGAATCGCCTAACACAAGACAGTGGTACAGTGGGCAAAAGCTTTCACTGAGAGATCTCAAAGTATAGCAAACATGCCTCAACTGGGTCATTGTAGTGTCAGTGAAGAGGAAACGCCAGCTATTGGCATGTTGCTAGCAACCAATCCACAGCAGATGATCTACCGGTGACCCTGACAGAAGGGTTATTGAATAAAAGTTCACTTCACAGAATGAAAAAATGTCTGGGAATACAAAATGGTGGTTCAGAAATAGTAATGATATACTGCTGTTCAAATGCACTTAGTGCTATCAGCATGAAGGGATAAAATGAAAGATTCATAAAAGTGAAAATATTATAACTCATACAAAAAAAAATGACAGAAGATTCCTTCCTTAACAACGGCCATCAAGAGACATATAGCTGAATTACCTGCCCACTACCTTCTTTACAAGATAAATACAAATAACGTGTATGAATTCAGGAAAGAAAATAGTAATAGAAAATGTTTTGTGTATGAGTAGATTAACTACCATTAAACATTATTTAAATATCTGTATCAATACATAAAAATGCCTTTACAATTTAAAAAATTTATCCCAAATTTTGAAAAAGGATATCAAAACATTTTACTTTATTACCTTATAATATGTAGAAACAGGCAGTCAAACAATTCAAACAACAGTCAAATGAAATTAAATATTTTTACCATTACATTAAAATTCATTCTATTACTAAAATTTGCGCAGAAAAATTAATTTTAAAAATGAAAAGTTAAAGCACAACCAGAAAAAACTTTATTTCAAATGGGGGAAAATCCATAAAATTTTTAAAAGCTAAAATAAATCATAGCTCATATAGAAAAATCAAATGACATTATGAAAACAATAAAGTTATTTGAAATCTTTTCAAATATAATAGTTACATTTCAGCAGGGTAAATGACCCAAGCATCCTCATCTTCATCAAATTGAACCTGTTCTAAGAACTTGCTTTTGTCTTCAGGATTTACAAAATTATCAATGACCAAGTTTCTAGATTGATAAAAGTGAAAAATAATTTTAAAACATTAATAAAAGTAAATCAGTTATCACACAATAAAAATGTAAACATTCACAGCGCTAACTTCGAATAAAAAAAATCTCTAAAACTGTATAAGAAAATTATTATGCTGAGGAACATTAAATAAAATTACACATGACTTTCTTAAATAACACATGACTAAAATTTCAAATATTCCAACCTAAATGGAAAAATGGACTTTTAAACAGCATAAAAATAATATAATTTTATAAAATTAATCAAAAGATAGTCCTGCAAAGAGTGAAATGCAATCTAAGCACATACATGTTCTAATATCATGCATGATAACTGTTTCTAAAGTTTAAAAATAACCCATTAATAAGCAAAATTTAAATACAAAATATCAACAAATATATTTTAAGCAATAAACATGTAGATATTGTAAGGAAATATTAAGCAGCAACAATAAAAGACAATCATTAACAAATCCTTATTAAATTAAATTAGAAAGATTGTCTTATAAATATATACTTCATATAATGAAATAAACCTGTCAGCTAAAATATTAAAAAATCAGTTCCTGATGTGATGCATGCTCAAAATCTCTAGGACTAACTCAATAAAATGGGATTATCTCTTGATATTAGGTACCAAGACTGCAACAGAACATCTCTCAGTTTCCACAGATTATGTAGTTTGGATATTGCTGCTTGTAACAGTTTCTTCAAAATAAACCAAAGACATTCAAATGGAATCATGTCTAGTGAAAACTAAGGCCATGACAATAAAGGGAACTTTATTCTGTTTTTAAAACCATTCATTGCAGAATGACACACAGTACTCTCTTGTTGGAAGACTTCTTTCCACAAAAGAATGCAGTTGCTATTAAAGGCGTATACTTGATCAAGCATTTATGTTCAGGTAGTCAAAATTATTCAACACATATAATTGGTCTAAATGCCCTGCCTCCAAATAATTTTCAGACTTCCTCTACTAACCTGAGTGTAGCCTGTAGTGCATCCATGTGAAAAGAGATCCTCCGGTGAATGTTGCATTCAAGTTTGCCCAATAACATAAAAAAATCAAGATTAATCTACATGTGAATTAGGGTGCGCTGAAAAAACACTTTTTAATAATTTTTATCACTAAACCCTGGAAAAAATATCTAAGTGAGTAAAATAAAAAAAAATTATAAAATGATATCTTCTGTTTGCCCATCATAATCAGAGTTTTGAAAAATGCCGACATTTTGACGTTTCCGGTCAATTTTTACAGTTACTACTACCAAACTGCTATTGGTTCTAATGTGAATTTTTGGGCATGAGGAATACGAAAAAAGTTTAAATACTGTCTTTTCAAGTTATTTACTGCTTGAGCAAAATGATCAAAAAAAAAACTTTTTTACAAAAATCGCAACTTTTTTACAAAAATCGCAATATCTCATAATTTTTGCTACAAACCTTTTTAAACAGTGACTATAATAATATTATGTAATGACACTGCATACTTGTAAATATTGTGTATATTGCAGTAAATACAGTCGTGCTAAAAATTAAGCAATAAATGCTAAAAGAAAAGGTTCAAATGTAAAAAGGGGAATTAAAACATACAATTTACATATGAGGTAGAGGTTGCATAACCGAATACAAATAGGCACCCAAAATTAACATAAAACACAATCTCACAACTCGGGATATCCTGGCGAATGAACTTATCCATTACCAACATCCTCGGGACATCAGAAGGATGCTTTTGTGTAACATGAGATCTTTTAGAATTTAGATAAAATGGCAGTATAGAAACTACAATTCAGCAGCTGAAAATAGGTGCAAATTAACATTTTCTATCTTTTAACACATATGATAAATCAAGAAACTTCCATGAATATGGAAAAACATCACAATTTTTTATGAAAAAAATGCTTTGGAAGAATGAAAGCAACAAACATTTCAATTTTACTTACGACAACTTTAAGTCCCTTGTTAATGTTTCAATTACTTGTTCCTTATCTTGTCTTTCCACCGAATTTATTTCCTGCTCTTCACTTATATCTTCTTTTAATGCTTGAAGACGTGAAAAGAGCTTAAAAAAATTCATTCATTAAGAAAACTGCAAAATCATTTAATATTTTTCATTTGAAATAAGAAACTTAAGGACAACTTTAAAAGATACCTTCTTTAATTTTTTTGTCTTTATTTCAACTTCTTGTTGCAAAGAATCATAAGTTTCCCTCTTTTCCAATGTATATTCCTCTTCTTGTAACAATTTTTGTTGTATTTCTCGTTCAATACGCTAAAAAAATAATATCAAAACTTTTTTTTATTTTCTAAAACAGGGATATCTTCTATAAACAAAAATATCAAGTCATATTTTTGTTTAAAATTTAAGAAAATATTTAAATAGCTACAACATTTTTATAATTTCTTCAATTTCTTTAACATGAAGAATTATGCTAATCTGCACACCCTCAGACTAAGAGTTGCACAAATTATAGAATATGGGAGATGATGGGTCTTCTTGATGTTTATTTGAATTTTTAACCTTCCTAATTTTTACATTCTATTTATATAAAAGACAATTTTTTACAGGAAATATTATTCTAAATAAGCATCAAAATAGTTTATACAAAAAAAGGTGTAAATCCACCTACAAAACTATTTTTGAAGTAATTTTACACTCTTAAACAAGAGGGAAAATAAACAGACTTAAGTAAATACATAAAATGAGAATTAAAGGATTTGAGTGCTATGTGGTTGCAGATTATCAGCGTTCTGTAAATCAAAAAACATATTATAGACCAACTTTTTTTAAGAAAAACTCTTTCAGCAACGTAATCATAAAAAAAATAAGATTTCTGATAAATGTATAGCTCTATTTACTCGTATGCAATTATTTACTTGCTTGTAATTAACTATTTATTGGTATCTAATTAATTTGTATTACTTCATACGTATAGGAAAAAAATGAAATACAAAAGTAATCAATCTACTGTGCTAGGAATCAAACCCAGATAAAACAACTAGTGCATGTAATAAGCAAAAATAATGTTCCACAAAAAGTTTATAACATTATGACAGCTCATTAACTTCTTAAAAAGTACTAAACAAAAACTAAGTTTTGTACACCTGCAAATCGATGTTTCACTGCAGGTACACCCATTGCAACCTCTACTTTGTACTCATGGTTCATACTCTAAAACAGTAAATGCAATGATGAGCTCTGACAACAAAATGACAAAACTATGAATTCAATAACTTAGAAATGTAGCAAGAAATTATGATGAATGAATAGTATATGCTTTTTCTTTAAAAAATTATCAGCCATGGGATTCCACATACAACCTGAAAACAAAAGCACTGCCTTCTACAGTTAAAAATATTGTAAAAAAACTTACTAGACTGCAGAATTTCTTTATAATGCAAATGTGGTGTCACCCAGATTTATTTATTAATAAAAGATTTCTTAAATGCAAAACCAAAGAACAATAGAACTCAAGAGAAATCTTTAATAACAAAATATTTTTTTCTTTTAATTCAAATATCTGCATACTACCTTTTGTTCTGCAAGCTCCTGACGTCTCTTTTCCAAAATTCTTTCTTGTTCATTGGTATGATCGATGATATTCTTACCACCACACAGCAACTTAGCTTCTAGTTCCTATTAAGAAAGCACAAGAAACCAAAAAATGTCAAATATTTATTAGTGACTTAAAAATAAATCTCCCAAAAGCTACAGCAGAATACTCTTTTAAATTAAGAATTACATAAATGAGGGATAATGGAAACATGAACATATTTTTACACAAGTAATTTATAATTGTTCAAATGCTAAAAATATATCAATAATTTTCACATGCAGTTTTATTACTTTAGAATCATAATTCAATAGTCATACAAAGAATGTACTGACCTAGATGTATTTTAAATTTGTAATTTATGTAAATGACGCTACAAGTTGTGCTAATCCTGCTACTATTTTTTGAAATATAAATTCTACAAAAGTCTGTCAATAAGACATTTTTTTGAAAATATATGTATTGATCAAACCTTTCACACCATACTGTATATCAATACGTATAACTTGATCCATGAATATCAAATACATTTTTCTAAACTGATACTTAATTTCTAGTTCTATACTAGTTTAGACATCTCTCTTATAAATTTGTACACAACCACTAAACATGAGCCCAGACCTTAAATGCCTGTAAACTTCTGGTACTTATTTTTAGAGTAAATGTAAACTTTTACTTAAGGTAATTTATGGGCCATGAGACCCATAAGAAGTTAAGATTTACAATTTTCAAGAAAAGTGAATTTTCAAATTAAAAATTGTCAAAAGATGAACATTTGCTTTACTTAAAACAGTCTCATACCTAGAAGTGTATGTCTATGACCAGCAGTTATAAAAATATAGGCCATATAAGGACTTTCATGGACATACTATATGATCAACTTTCAAGCCTCAATATAAAAGCTATAATAACTTTCAAACTAATAGTGTTGTTATGAAATGCCGAACCGCGGTAGGATAGCTTCCCCACAAAGCAGGTTTGGGGTTGCCAGAAAATGGTAAAGAAAGGCAGGTTTACCAAATTTGGCGAGAAATCTCCCAAATTTGACGATGTGCCATAGATGGATGGAGAACCTTCTGGAATGAATTCTTACTGGTTTAGCCCAGAAAGTCCTCGAACGCAAGCCAAAAGCTATATAAACCTTGCTAGTATGCAGTTGACAGTCAGTCAGAGAGTGCCTAGTCGAGTCAGCTAAGCGTCAGTAAGCGAGTGTCTTGTAGTCTAGTGCTGAGTTGGTCGTCAAGTGCACTGAAAGAGTCTCTTAGTGTATCGCAAATTAGTGCATCATCGAGTTTTATCTTAGAGTGTGCTGAGCTCCAAGAATGACCGAAATGAGTTGGAGATGTACTCTAGTGTATTGATGAGTGCATTGCGAGTTGTAGCGTGAAGAGTCTTGAGAGTACATAGAGTTTCAAGAACGACTGAGCAGAGTCAGGAGCTGCATTCTGGTGCTTTGCCGTAAAGCTGTCTTACCACTATAGCCTGATAGCCAGAAAGCTGTGTCATCGGTTCTTTCAGCACATTTATAGTACTTCCTTCAATGACTGTAAACATGATTTTAGAGCCGTCTTGAATAATACTGGCTAAAAAATTGTATTTCGATACTTCATCAAGTGTCATCGTTATTCACTCCAAATCCACAAACCCGTACATATGTAAAGCAAAACGTACCAGTGTAAAAGCTTGTGATCAGATGCTTGACTGCATTAAAATCATATTTCTTAGCTACACCTTGAAATATTACTACAAAAGCTACATTACTTTAGAATTACCAATATAAAAATTTGCAGTCAGATTCTTGAATGTGTTGATGGCATTTGCAAAACATTTAAATGTGCATACATGGATACACACACACAATATAAAATTGCATACGTAATACAACAGGAAATGCATTGTTTTCACATAAAACCAAATATATGTACAAATCCTGCTAATAGCAAATACTTATACGGTGAAAAATCTATGAGGTAGATTGAGTGGGGAAAAAATTACAGGCACAATTCTAAAATCTCATGTAACTTGAATGATTTTGCATGGAATTTGTAAAAGATCTTTATTTTTCATGCTCAATATGTTTTCAAAATGTAAAACTGCCCATTTGTGCAAAAAATAAATTTTAATAAGAACAAAGAAAATATAAAAAGTGGGGTAGGAAAAAGCAGGCATTACAACTTTTTAAATATACACAGAAAAAATTAACAATGCATGTAGTCACCCTTGACTGAAATACAACCTTGAGAGAGATTTTCCAAGCTATGTATTAGACTTTACAGGAGTTCTTACAGTAATAAAGCACATTCCTAAGATACAGTGCCTTGAAGTTCCTGGAAAGAGCCAGGTAGAGGCTTCAGTAACACAAGTCAACTCCTAATGCATCTCACTTCTCTTCTGTTGGATTTAAAACTAGAGTAGATGTGGGTCCATCTGCGGGGTTTCTTTGCCCTCAAGATAATCACTCATTAGTGCAGCATGATGAATAAGCATAATCATCCATTAACCCTTTCAGGACGGGCGTCTCATATATGCCTTCCCTAAAAACGTCTCTTACAGTCGGGCGTCCCATCCATGCATCACTAGAGATTGCATTCAGAGGACGGGTGATGCATATATGCATTTTAAGCTGGAATGTTCTTCTTAAGGCCACTATATGGCATTCTATGTTCATTACTTTTGAAATGAACACAGTTTTAGGTTCCTAACCTTGAGTTTGATATATGTCTGACTTTGGTATTTCTCATCAACTCTTGCAAGGGTTGGGGGGAGGGAAAGCGTAAACAGAGGTGGGCTCTTTAAATCGTCGTGTGCTAATATAAATATTCGCGTGCCCGATTTATATCCAATTCCTTTTTTTATTCTATTTCTTCCCTACTATACATGGTCTTTTAGGGTTAATATGTGGAGTTTTGTTACGTTTTGCATTGTCTTCAGATATATTTCCATTTCTTCTTTTTATTTCGGAAAGCCTCACCTCCAGTCTATTATGGCGGAAAGGTGCTATTTATCAGAGGAAGAATACCCTCGTATGGTTAATGAATCATTTACTAATGCAGATGAGAGTGATGATTCTTTTTCTAAAGAGCTAGAAAGTGATACTTCTCCGTGCTTAGATTTACCACAGTCTTCATTTTAAATTTTGTTACTTCTTACTGTAAATAGTCTTTATTGTGCTGTTTTATTAATTTTAAACTTTATTGATTAATTTTATCAATTAAAACTTTGGAATAATTTGAATAGCGCTTTCAAAAATTATTTTTCAAAATAAGGAAATTTAAGATAAGGACTCGCACCATGATCTCAAAACCTTTATACTGATAACTTGAATGGAATTTTCAAGCTTACTGCATGCACTTTGCTCTCTCCAAACTGTAATACTTCTGGAACTGCTCCAAACAAACATCAGTTGTTTACTACTTTTAGCAACAGTTGCCTAATTGTGGCATGTTTTTAACCTTGAGCTGGTTGTCCGGATACATGATCAGTATCTTTAAACCATTCCCAGATTCTTGACATCACATCTATAGTTACTTTTAAAAGTCTTCGCAAACTTCTATCAGTGTATGTTCTGCTGCCAATTTTCTCATTGGCATGCCATTTCTCACAATCCATCAAATGTCTTCCAATGTCATGTTCCACCTTTCGAATGCAAAAATTTTACCTACTTGCTCGTACAATCTTTGAAATTAAACCATGAAGCTATCCCTTGCACTCCTTCCACATGTACTGAAAGAATGAGTGTAAAAGCTATGTAAAAATTTGCACTTCAAGAGATCATTACCTATTAGTTTTAAATGAATTTACATCTTAAAACCCATAAACAAACTTTTCTAAAACTGTCCATTATAATACTTGAAAAAATGTTAAGAGCAAGAATCTGGACTATTAAAATAATTTAAAATATTAGCCCTGCCAGAATATCCATTAAAAAAATTTTTTTAATTATAAATATTCATAAAGCCACTTTTGGGAGAGGAATAAGCTATGCTTAACTTCAGCTAGTCTGTAGCAACATCTTCATGTTGGCCAAATAATTATGCAAGATGAGGATTTGAACGTAAAAAGACTACCGTATTTGACGGCATATAAGACGCACTGGCATATAAAACGCACCCTTATTTAGACGGCCACACACAAGGAAAAAAAGTTTCAATAGCGTGGGTTTCTTTTAGTTCTCACGTTTCATAAAGCCAAATAAACAATTATTGAATGCAATTACCTTCACGTATAAGACGCAGGTAACTTTTTTGAGACCAAATTTAGGAAAAAAAAGTGTGTCTTATATGCCGTCAAATACGGTAACAACTTTATGCAAATTCAGTGTTTTCATGAAACTGGTTCTGCTATGTCCTTATGTAAGCCTGCGTTTTCCAGTTTAAGCATCATTATGTGGGGAGACTTTGAATAAAAATGGCATCGTTTTATTTCACTTCATTCAATAAACTAAGAAACAAAACAAAACCTACTTAGATAATGATGTGCCAACTTAAAACACTGGCACAGTTATGAAAATTGTTAGATTCAAATTCAAAACTGACCTCCATAAAGGTGTCAGTATCATTCTGAAAGTTTCTGGCTTGATGAACACAGTGACCCTAACTGAAGTGTAATGTCAAGCAGCAGTACTATCATGAGTGTCAACCTTAGCAAATCCATTCTTCTTGTGAATCTGAAGTTATTGGTCTTCACCAATCTTGGCAGTAAGAACTTTTGAATATTAACTATTTTACTCATCCACCAAACTTCATAACATTTCCAAGCATACTAATTAGTAAAATTCCGTACTTATACTCAACCTGCATGCTTTAACATGCTTAAAATACTTTGTGAATATTCTGAAAACTGCAATTCAGCATAAAACTGGATATATGTTTGGCACGGCAGCACTTTCAACAAATAAATAAGTTTAGCATCACCAGCTATCATACTATTTATATCAGTTCAATAAATTATGTGTTAAATACTATTAACACATAATTTAATATAATAATTTTATTGTTTAATAAAATTATTATGTTAAACCATGAACTTAAACAGATAAAAACACTTTTTAGAAACACTGTCACAAAGTATAAAAATGGCCACATGACATCTCTAATGCTGCAATCTAAAACAAAATAATTTTAATAGAAATATTTACCTGTAACTGATTCCTAATTTTCTCTTTTGCTTCATTTTCGAGCCTCAGTTCTTCATCTTTAGCTTTTATGTCTCGTAAAATTTTTTCCTTTTCCTATAAAATCAGAAAGAAAAGCAAGTTAAGTCATTTCAATATACATAGTAAAATTTATGCTTCTGTTATAGTGTATTTGAAACTTACTTCAGTCATTAGATTTTGCTCATTTAAATATGCAATACGTTCTTCTTCTAGCAATGTTTCCATTTTCTTCACGATTTCAACACTTGAAGTATCAAGTTCAATAACATCTTCTGCCAATTTTGCAGACAACTTTTTCTTTTTCTTTTTTGCTTCTTTCAATGCAAGCTGTTCTTTTAAGCTGCAGAAAGAGTAAAATATAATTTTGTGTATTATTTATGAAAATATATTTTTATTACAAGAAAAAAAAAAGATTATTTGTAAACTAAATGTTTTTCAAAGTATGATATTTAACAAGAAAGTATGGTATGTCAATGCATAAAAATCCATCATCCATCAACATCTGCCAAAATTTAAGTCCACGCAATCTGACAGACTGTGTGACAGTATGATATAACATTATAATATTAATACCCTACACAGTTTTTCTAACCCCACCAGTGGCCAAGTGTTAAGACCACTGAATACTGGCACTGTGACTCTGGTTCAATCTCACAATGTGTGTGTGTGTGTATTTAATTATGGCAAAGCACACTAGGGCTATCTGCCTAAGGGGAGGGATGCCTTCGTGGAGGACTTTCTAAGGGAAACTGGCTCATATACACGTTACACATGGGGAAAACCAGGTTCAATCTCAAGTAAACAGGGTGGTTTCATGGTTAGTAGTCCTGGTTTTCCCCGTGCATAGCATGAATGCAAGCCAGTTTCCTTTGAACGTCCTCCTCAAAATTATTTCTTCTCTTAGGCGGATAGCTCTCACATGCTTTGTCATAATCAGATAACATAACTTAGCAAGTTTTTCTGTAGCCTTACATATGTAATCTGAATACTTGCCTGACTAAATTTCCATAAACTTCTAAAATGGAACAAAAGCAAACCATTTTGGGATTAGTAACGAATGATAAAACAGAGTTTATGACAATTTTGTAAAAAAAATCCTATCTGCAGTGTGGTTGTGCCCTCACAGCAAACATCTCATGTTGAACAATTTCCAAGATTTTGCTTAATGTTTAGGAAGACTATAAATTTCAACGGTAAGAAATTGCAGCATTCCTCCTGTGCATGCTCTTGTGGTCCAGCAGTTAGTACGTACAACTATCAACTAAAATAACTGCAACTCAAATCGTGGCAAGAGCAGAAATGATTTTTCATGCTTTATACTCCAAAAAAATAAAGTAGTCTCTACACTGGCAGTTTAATGACGTTCACAATAACTTGTCACCCCAGGATTTGGTTGAATGTCTTGTGTCACTTCCATTATTGGTTTTGGAATCTTAAGTGAGGTGGAGAAGTTTCACTCAGTTTTAAATGAGACAGGATGTAAAGATTTACGGCATTCTTCCAATAGCACTACTCTTCTAGAGTAATGTTTAACAAGACCAAGTGAAAGATGCATGGTTTGATTTCTAGCAAAGACACAGGTGTTTCACTAAGTTTCCTACTACTAAGAATAATTGTACTTCACCGTAATTAGCGTTTCTGAACAACCAACCATTAAATAGAAAATAACAATAGCTTACAGTTGGATATTCTGCCTGTAGAAACTAAAAAAAAGACAGGTTTATTGATACACACCAATAAAATAGTCATATCAATTAATAATGGTTATATATGACAACTAATTAATAAATAAAAGATGTCTCAATAAGATCTACATTTATTCAACATAAACTGTATTATCCATCTAAATTAGTGCCTTGCCCATGGAATGTGACCTTTCAAAAGCTAAATGCTCAAACTCACATGCCCACAGCAGACCAGATAGTATTTATATGAACATTCTTAAGACTTCAAAAATAGATTATTTCCTAGGTATGAATCTAATCAAGTATTCTTTAACTAAAATTTAAAGCAGCTTGTGTCTGTAAACCTTTTTGAGTATACACAGATGTAAAACTTTTTTATTCATATCCAACAGAAAAAAATTATAATGTAACTTTAAACCAACTTCCCTCTAACTCCAAGTAACAAGCTTGCAAAGTTTATATTTAGAAGCAATATAAAAATATGAAATATTGCCTCACTCTACATTCTTTAATCCCTCCCTTTGCAATTGAAAATTAATGAAAACAAATTTTAAAATTAGGCAAAAAAATATACACAAGGTATAAATTATATGAAAGTAAAAATATTTATAAATATACCGAGATATCTCTTGCTGATACTGCAACAGAATGGCATCTTTTGGATCTATGTTGACCACAGGTTTATTTTTAATGTTCTTTGCTCGATTAGCATAGCTATAGAAGATAAAACAATGAGTAAAAAAATACAGTACCTGAACTGAAATGTCATTTTTATCAATTAAGCAAAATGATTTTAGATTCAATATAGTTTCATTACCGCAAAGTTGTCATTGTTTCTTCATAATTATAACTAGCAGGGCCTATGTTTGCTATCATTATCGTTTTTGCATTTCCACCTAAAGAATCTACATTAAAAAGAAATTTTTTAACATCATACTTTACACAGAGAAAAAAAATAGCTTCAAGTAAAATGCAAATATAGTAAAACTCTAAATTTCTAGATAAACTGGAACCACAGCCCATCCGGATCATTTGGTAGGAAGGACAAAATTAAAAAGTGAATTACTTTTTATGCACTTAACCTTCTGACTGGTGAGGCCAGACAGATACAATTTAGACCAGTGTTTCTCAAACAGAGGTCCACAAGAAATATTTGCCAGTCTGCGAAATATCCAGCTATCTGTCCAAATCATCAGCCGACAACCAATATTACAACAGCACCCACATTACAATAACAATAGTTTAGAAAATAATACAATCGATGATGAAAAATATAACAAACTGGCAACTATATACCTAATCGCCTTTCATAAATTGCAGTGCCGTACACTTAGTACACCAGTTAGTACGCCCCTGTCTGCTTTGAGTATTGCTAATCACTTGAACACTGAATATCTGTTGTAGTATTTAAGGCATCTTAGGTTAGGTTTTACTTTTTATCTTGCTTACATTCTTCTGCGCTCTTGAACAACTGAAAACTATACATCAGCGTAAGTTTTTAATAACCACTAAATTTAATACTCTGCTAGAACTACTCTTTCTTTAACATTAGGCAGATTAAAAATTAATAACCAGGATGAGTAAGAAGGAAACGAAAGGCACATTACTAAATTTTATGCAAAGAAATGATTCTTCAAAACCAGTATGTGATATCATGTAATAATTAAGATATTTATTTATCTTTATATTTAAATATGATTGTAAGCAAATGGTAATAAGAATATTACAGTTAACTTATGTAGTAATTCTTGAATACCTTTGTAAAGTTTTTGGAGGGGAGGCAGGGGGGCAACCACCGGTCTGCAAAATTTTTTTCGTAAGTTTCACCAATCGAAGGACCAAGAAAGGTTGAGAAGCACTGATCTAGACTATTTCTCTAATGTTTTATTAAAAAATATATATGTACACTATACAAAAAAAAAATAGGACAGTTCTATATCTCCCGTTCTACTGGGCCAATTGACAAAATTCAAATTGCGTTTTTCATGTCATGAAAGCGCGACTTAGGATATATATTAGATTTATATAGAGCATTCTTCTAACATAGGTATTTTCACAGAAAATCGGACTTTTTCTGAAATAATATACCAATTTTTTTTTCCCATATTTTGGTTCTAAGACTCAAATTATGCCTAGATATTAAATTTTGTAAAATTTGATGTGAAATTTATGGAGAAATTCAAAAATTTATCTTGGCGAAATTTTTACAGTTTGGCCCAGAATAATTCACTTGCCAAACTTCTTAATATATGCCAACCAATTTTCTACTTTCCCTTCCATTATACCGGAGCAGAAAGAAAAGGCACCTCGTTCCTACCTTTTTACATTGTGCATGAATGGAAAAAAAGTCATATTGTTTCTACTTCCAAATACTTTTACCAAAGTGTACAAACCACATCTGAGGTTTTATCGCTTTAAACAAATATGCCAAATTTCAAAACACGTAGATTATAACTCAAAATTGTTTTTGAAAAATTTATAAAAATTATTTAAACATACAAATTTTAAAAATACATCATAAAAAATGTGTGAATTTTTTTTTTTTTTGGAATGAACCTGAATTTCGAAATGTGAAAGGAAGAATCAAATAATCTTAATAAACAAAGAGAGATTAATAAATATATTCCAAACTCAATTAACATCGAGAAGCTAAAATTTTGAGAGCTAATTTTTTAAAAACTACTCGTGCAATTTTTACAAAACTTGGTAATTTGGCATAATTGGAGTTGTAAAGTTGAAATATGTAAAAACATTGGCATGTTATTTCAGAAAAGTCCGATTTTGTGTCAAAATACCTATATTAGAACAATACTATATATAAATCTAATAAATATCGTAAGTCGTGCTTTCGAGACACGAAAAATGCAAGATGAATTTCGTAAATTAGCCCAGTAGAACGGGAGATATAGAACTGTCTCATTTTTGTTTGTGCAGTGTACATCTTGAAATATATTCAGAAAATTAAGGCAACATATTAAAAGTACATAAACCCAAGTATAAAGTAGCAGGGCATTTTGGCATTAAAATGAAGAAAATACCTCTTTTTCATGGCAGTTTTAAGAAACTTGGGATTTTTTAGTGAAACCCTGACAGTTGGACAGTTAAATATGCAATCCATTTTTATTTCAATTAAAATAAAACTAACTTTTACTTCCTCATACAGAGTAAAGGAAGTACCGTAATTACGAAAAACTTCGGGAATCATACTTCAATGGAAATACCCATTCTGTCTGTTCCCAAAATTCATTTGGATGGTTATTTTGCATGACATATGTATGTACAGATAGAATAAAGGTCTCGAACATATTGTAAATTGCATTCAAAAGTGATTTTTGCTTGATGTCTGTATGTACATATCTCACATAAGTCAAAACCAATTAGCCGTAGAATTTTGAAATTTTGCATACGGGATTGCTATAACATCTAGTTGTGTACCACTTTTTTTATTGTAATTGCTAGTGTCAAATATGTGTGTGTATACACACCTACCTCCTTATCTGGCTTAAAAGTCCTTACCCAGGCTTTATTAATAAAAGTAAAATATAATAAAGTAATAAAAATACACATCATTACATTTGTATTTAAGAGTTAGTAAAAGATGTATGAGACCCTATATGTTGCATATAGGTTGGATTGAATGAAAACAGAACTGACATTACCTTGATACAATTTATTTTCCTAAAAGAAAGTCTTATCAGTTTTGGAATTTTCAAAAAAAGTAAGACAAAGCTCTTCTCAGTATGATAAAGCACAATCAGTTGTTACCACTTCAAACTACCAAGAACATTAAATACAATGCAAAGTACATTCAAAAAGTAAAGCTCACACAGAGATCTTTCAATACTCCAATGTCAACTCTGAACTAAAAACTGAGAACTGATTCTCTTTCCACTCTCATATAGTTTTCCCCAGGCCATAGAGAAATTTTCAGTACCTTCGAGTTCTCGAAATTGCTGGAAGGCATATACATATATAATTTCGTATAGAGCTGGATAAAGTTACAGTTGTGTAGGAGTTAGACAAATTACTGAATTAAATATTAATCAGAAAAAAATGTTGCCAAATGTGTGCCAAGCTTGACTACATTTGGTGATTTCTCGCCAAATTTGGAAAAAAACCTTAGCTGCCAATATCACCACCAGCTTGTCACTATCTCGCCACTTTCCCAAGACAGCCATTTACCTCAAGTTAAATGACCTGCCGTAATCCTATTTTTTCGGCTGAGATTTGCATTTCCAAGGCATTTTATGTTATGTTAAACAAGAGGTATTAAAATTTTACTTATAATTTCCCTTAAATTATTTAGATATATAGAAAATTCATAGCAATACTAATGAAGTGGAGAAAAAGATTACACATTTTGCTGCACATTAGCACAAGAGTGTAAAGCAATCTTATATGCCATTCATGTCCATTTACATTATTATCTTTCTTAGAAATAAATTGTGTGCTAATTCTCTTTCTTTATGACTTAAATCAATAAAAAGTATTTCAATCAAACAAACTAGTAAACTTGCAACATTGTTTGTACTTGAACTATAACAAACAACGTGAGATTCAGATATCAGGAGTTAAGAAACAAATTTATAGACTGATTACTTTTCAGAAACAAGCTTCCAAAAAATAAATTCAATGTTCAAACCTTATGAATATTTAAAAACAGATAACAAAGATTTAAATAAAGAACAGGTGATCTAAGTTTGTGTATTATACTTCACTACTAAAATATGCAAAGTAAAATGAAATCTGCCTACCTTGCAGTAACCGTGTTAGCTTAGAGTCCCTGTAAGGAATGTGCTGACTTTTTCCATCAACTAAAGCAGATATCACATTACCCAATGCTGACAAAGAAAGGTTAATCTTTATAGACTCTTTCTGAGTCGAACCCTATAAAATACAAGTACACTTAAATGGCAAGAAGGATATTTATTGACATCAGCACAGCATTATAACAAATTTTAAAAACATATGGAAAATAAAAGAAAACTGGAAAAGAAATAAATAAAAACTAAATTTAAAGCCAGTAAAAAAAAAAAAATATGTGCTGGATATCTTACGATAGCACCAGTCTTTGCAAGTCTCTCGCTTCCAGCTAAATCAACCAGATTTAATTTTCCTATCTTTACATGCTGATTTCCATCAGAGTCAGACTGGAGGAGAACAAAATAAATTTCATATTATTTACTTAATACCATTATAAACTTTTAAATTATCAACTAATAAAAAATTTTTTTGCGTAAAGACAAGCACATACATTCAGTGCTGGCACTATGCTAGTGAGCCAGATAAAAATACACTTGATACAAAAATTAGTATAAAATTAATTTTCACATAAAAGAAAGATTTCCTAGTGTTTGGACAAAGTAAGTGCAGCTAGACTGCCACATTTTGTGGTAGGAATTTTTCTTTATTGAGGAACAATACAAATTTCGATACCTAAAGCCCAAAAGCAATTTTACATATACAGTGTTTTGTACCCAATTATAAGCGCTATTGTGGCAGCATGATTAAGAAGTTGCCATGGAAACCACAAATGGCTTTTATTTAAAATTTCGGATTTTAAAAAATAAGGAGAACAGAGATTTAAAAAGTGTTGTGAGTGTATTCAAGATGAAAGTAAATCGAGTGCAAGTTAAAATATATATACAGTCCACTGAAATTTTTGTAACAAGTTTCTTTAATCATCAGTACCTGATCCGTCGAGCCGGAGTTATTAAGCACACTATGGATAATCATAGGTTGTGAAAATTTCAACCTTCATTTTGTGATATGTTATGACAATACCTACCAAAAGGTGAACCATTCTGAAGATTTCCTACTGAATTAGCAACCAGTAATGAAGTAGGTGCATGAACTTTTCTGGTCATTTACCCTCATAAGGTAATTTGAGTTATTATTTTTTACTGAATTAAGAGTTAGTTGTGTTTAGTTTTGCAACTGAGTTTCTTTTTTCAAAATGTTTAAAAACAAGATAAAAATTGATTTGCAGCTTGCTACTAGAGTTAGGAGAGGTAGTAACAGATAGAATGACAACTACAGATCTGATTAATATTATAAAGAATACTGAGAAATTCAAAAAAAAGAACCTGAATTTGTATCTAATCTCATAAGCCCTGTTCACAATAGCAGTTTCGAACGGTGGCGAAAACCTGTTCTTCCAACTTGTCTCATTCACACAGCGAACAAGCATTAACTGCCTCTCAGAACTGGAGGTAGAATTCAGTAAATGCTCCCACCACTCTGGAGCAGGACAAATGGGGAGATTTCCATACTGCACTGCGTGATTGTGTGGTTCTCTTAATTTCAGTAAACAACATGGTTGATGTGCAACTGACTGCTCACTGGACTGTCAGTGAAACAATCATGCTGATAGATATCTGTGGATGCGATAGTATCAAAAAAAAAAAAATTAGATGGAACAATGCGAGAAACGAAAGTTTATAAACTAGTATAGACAAGGTTATCTGATGCTGGGAATTCCAGAAATATTGTTCAAATTAAAATTAAAGTTAAGGTGCTTAGACGCTCATATTGGCTTCAACGCAACAAGCGGACTCGGTACCATTTGAATAATTTTTATTATTTAAGAACCTTCATCTACTTTTTATGAATATTATTAAATGGTTATGCAAAACAAATGATTTCAAGCTGAAAAAAAACTTTTCCCAGTAATTTGTTTTTCAATTTAAATCTTTTGAAGAAAAATTTAACAATTAAAACATCTTTCTCCTATTAATTTTCAATGTTTTCCCCCCAAATATTTTTATTATATTTAGTTTTATTTTATTAATATTTTTATTTTATTATATTATTAGTGTTCTTAATAACTTTAAGGACCGATTTTGCAATTAATGAAATAGCTTCTGAGAAAAAAAATAATAACTCATTTTTATGTAAAAAACTTTGAAACAAATATGATCTCAATCATATTTTCACTTTAATTAATTTTTCTTATCAGTATTTTGCAAAACCCATCCTATTTTATATAAAGTATACAATTTTAAATAAGCAGTATAATGATTAAATAATTTAGTCCATTATCTATATAAGTTTTAGAACGTTGTGTAAAAGGATTTATTGATAAAATACAAATTGAGAAACCGCAATTTAAAGAACATAAACTGTCTAAATGGTCATTAAATCATTTCAAATTTCTTAAAAATTTTATTACGGAATTTCAGTTCATATATACTACCCGACATTGAAACTGCAACACCGAGAAGGAATGGCCAGAGAGTGATAATATTCAGCAGAGAGAGACAGCAATGAACAATAAGTGCTTTGTTTCAAAATGATATACATAAAGTGAGAACATCTTTTTCGGCTTAGTAGGTTGTAGGACCACCTTGGAGAGTGATACATGAAGCAACAAGTCTAGGTACAGAGTCAAAGAGACTATATAATTTAGTACCTACATATACACTACCCAACATTGAAAATGTAACACCAAGAAGGAGTGGCCAGAAAGTGATGAAATTCGGCAAACAGAGAGAGACAGCAATGAACAATAAATTACCTTTATTTCGAAATGATATACATAATACAGAGCAAGTACATCTTCGGCTCAGTAGGTTGTAGGACCACCTTGGATGGCGATACAAGAAGCAACACGTCTAGGTACAGAGTCAATGAGACTACGGATAATGTCCTGAGGAATGGCTCTCTATTCCTTGTCAACCGTTTGCCACAGATCGCCTTCTAAACACAGCAATGGCAGGGTCTGCAAATGACATCCAATCACATTCCATATGTGTTCGAATGGTGAGAGATCAGGAGAGAATGGTGGTCAGGGAAGCATCTGTATACTTTGCAGAGGATGTTGGCTGATGTAAGCAGTGTGTGGTCAGGTGTTGCCCTGCTGATAAAGGCCATTGGGCACTCGCTGAAGGTAGGGCAGTGTGACAGGCCGCAGTACATCATCGACATATCATTGGCCGGTCATAGTGCCCTGAATACGAAACAGGAGTGACATGGAATTCTATGCAAATGAGCCCCAATCCCTGATGCTGTGTTGTCGTATACTGGGGCATTCTGCAGTTGCTGTCAGACTGGACCTGATGCCACAATCGTACGTGGCAACTATCAAAAAAAAAAAAAAAAAAAAAAAAAAAAAAAAAAAAAAAAAAAAAAAAAAAAAAAAAAAAAAAAAAAAAAAAAAAAAAAAAAAAAAAAAAAAAAAAAAAAAAAACAAAAAAAAAAAAAAAACAAAAAAAAAAAAAAAAAAAAAAAAAAAAAAAAAAAAAAAAAAAAAAAACAAAAAAAAAAAAAAAAAAAAAAAAAAAAAAAAAAAACAAAAAAAAAAAAAAAAAAACAAAAAAAAAAAAAAAAAAAAAAAAAAAAAACTTTAGAGAAACAGAAGCATGACTCATCTGAGAATATGACCACATGTCATTCTGTCATCCACGTCACACAAGCCCGGCACCATAGCAGATGTTGGAGTCTATGATGTGAGGTCAATGGCAGTCTACTTGACAGATGCCAGGAGTGCAGGCCACTAGCCACCAATAGATGGCAAATGTTTCTAGTCAATATGAGAACATCCAGGATGTCTTGAACATGCTATAGAATGCAGGCAGAAGTGACTTGCAGGTGCACCGCCGCTTGCCGGTGGATGCGTCGATTCACGCTTTCTGACGTCACTCTGGCTGCACCAGGACCCCTCAAACTTGCCACATTTCCTTGTTCCAACCATCGACACTACAGCCAGTGCACTGTGGACACGTCCAAGTGTGTGACAGCTGAGATTAGCCGTATGGACCAACCTGCCCTTCTCAGTCAGATCACCATGTCCCTTGTAAAATCGTCTGCCTACTGAAACTGCCTCCGTTGACGACAGCCTGGCATTCTCTGCTATTACACACATCCTCTGAGACAAGAACAAACTTTCTACGATGATTTCCCTAGCATAAATAATGGCATGAAATCGACCTTTCTGCAGGTTCTTTCCCTTATATTGCTTCCAATGTGCACTGGAGAGATTTGCGTAACTCGGTGATGTTCATTTACCATGAAATTTGCATAATTTTCAGGCCACTCCTCAATGTCGGATAATGTATATATATAAAAAATAAAACCTAGTTCTATTTAATCGGTTAACATAAACATAAATTAAACCTTTTATTTAAAACCTTATCTGGCCAAAAAGTTAGCAAAAAAATCATATAACGCAAGTAGAATTTTTCTTTACCTGTTTTTGTTTTGCAAAACATATTCAGAACAATTTTAATACATGAATTAATAATATATTTTCTAAAAAATTTAAAATCAATATTAAAACATTTATAATTAATATTAATAATATTAATTTGTCATTTCATTTATTTTTTCAAAAAGCAAAGTTTGAAAACTGAACAGACATAAAACACTTCATTTAAAACAGTTCAGCAGCATATGTGATTTTTCTCTTCTTTTAAGCATTTGGTCTCGTATATAAATTGCATTTTAAATTACTTTAAGTATACCCTAATTAAAGAGTTTAATGTTTGTTCCAGAAAAATTTTTTAAATGCTACAATCAGCAACTTGATCACTTTCATAACATCTCTTTCTGTGCTTGTCTTATCATCTTATTACAAATAATTTCTATTTTTGAAGAAGCATAGCAAAATTGATAATGCACATAAAAATATTTGCTGAGCTGAATATGTATATAAACCTACCAGTTTAAAAGTGGGATAAAAAAGTTTCCCAACTTCACTCAATACTTAAATAAATGAGTTTATACATATAAACAGAGTTTACTGATAGTTGCAGTAATATTCAATTACACTAAATTTCTGAGCCTTTTTATATCATTTATTATCGCTAGATTATTTCAAAATTTCTCTTCAGAGTAGTAAGGGTTATTAAGGTATTTTTTTAGCAAAAAATAAATTAAAATCGGCAATTTCATCAATTTTGGGGTATCGAGTCCCCAAGAATATCTGGAACCGGCAGTAAAATTACTTTCAGTTTTTATGACCAACTAGACAGAATTTCTGAACCAAGAAGAGATGCCATGACGAAAAGCGTTCTATAGCAATAGTAAGCAATGTCAAAAAAATGTAAACAGATGTTAGAAAGCCACCAATCAGATTCACATTTGTGACATCATTGCTCGCTTATGGGTTAAGGGATGGAAGACGATGTGCAACTGAACCAGTTCTGAAAGC